GCCAACCCTCATTGCTGTTGGTGTAAATAAGCCGCTTGTTGCTGAAGATCAAACGCGTATCAATCTTTGGAGCAAGCAGTGTTCTGACGAGGGAACCATCTGGGTTGTGTAGAGATATCTGTTCCTTGTTCTTGTAACCCACTGCTATCAGATTGCTGCTGTCCACTGCCAGGCACGTTGGCGTTCCGTCCACGCCGGCCTCTTTCCCCGGTATGAACTGATGAAGGAGCTGGTATTCCTTGTTGAAGATCTTGACTGCAGGATTGTCTAGGATCAGAAGTTGATCATCCTTGTTGATGGCTAGAGCTGTTGCTTTCTGTATGTCATTACGGTCAAGGGGTTCGTTTGGTTTATCAGGGTCAGGTTTGTAGTTCTTTGTAGAAATCACCTTCCCCTCTGGATCCAATGTACGCAGTTTATTAGTGTGTGCCACAACCATTTCACTTGTGGAGTATGCTGCAAGATGTTGGGAATCGAAACTAGTTTGTGAAAAGGTCTCATCTCTCTCCCATTTCTCCTCCAAGAGCAGAGTCCCAAGCTGACCATCCTCTTTACTCTCCTTGAAGCCAAGGAATGACTTCCCATGCTTGATATCCAAACTCTTATGCACATCCACCTGCTCATTCAAATCCCGCAGCATTTTCTTCTTGGACTTCAGGATCTCATAGCACGTTGCCGTAGTCATCACTTCATTCACTTCACCCAGAATCTGCTCAGACGTTTCTGCATACGCAAATTCTGTATCTCGTTTAATGGCAATGGCCCTGGCCTCCGTTTTCAGTAGTTTTTCTTTATCTCTGATTTTGGCAATTTCCTTTTCTGCTTTCTGTGAAATTTGAGAGTAAGTTTTTACCAGCATCTTGTCAAGTCTGTAACGTAAATGACCTGAAGAGGGGTTTGCAGAAAGGAATTTTTCAATGCACTCTTCTGTTTTAGCTACGGATTCATGTACTTCTTGTTTACATCTGCTAACCGCCTGGTCGATACTGACGTGAGAATGTATGGATTCTTTGTGATCAATGTTTGTGCATTCATTGCATATGAGGACTTCACATGAGTCACAATACAGACAGAGATCTTGATCTGGATGCTTGAAACACTTGGGAACTTTCTTGAGTTCAGTGTCAGTTATTTCTTGGGACTCAACAGGTAGCTCTGTCAAAGCCACAATCTTGTGAGTTCTCAGTACTGCCATTCGACTGTGTGCCTTCTGGCAATCTTGACAGAGATAATGCTTGCAATCCGCGCATCGAGAAATAGCTTCGTTTTTCTCATCGCATGCCTGACACATGACTTTTAACCCCTGACCTTCAGTCTGTTCCTGTTCATTGGCATCTCTTGATCCTACAGGTAGCATGTCCACGCCAGCTTCAGTCAGGGCAGTTTCCTTTCGACACAACGGACAGACAATGATCTTGTCGTCCTTATTTTGTGTCAGTCTGAGTTCTTGCAAACATTTCAGGCAGAAGCTGTGTGAGCAGTCATACATCCTAGGATCCTTGTACTCAGTGTAACAGATAGGACATTCTTGAAGTTCCTTCTGAGTCTCATCCAAGACTTGATCGGTCACACCTCCCTCTGCCATCTTGCTCAGTTGTACTCTACATGAACCATATAAGAGTGAAAAGAAAAACAAACATTCAACTTATGCATTCTATAAGATACTGTATAAATATTGACTGACTCATGGTAGTGGAACGCCACTATAACAAACATTGTTGGATCCACAGAAAGTGTTCGTAATAACGATTGTTCGATATAGTGATTTTGAACTGCTAGTACCCTCTTTTGACCAATAGTGAAATGTCATTTCTCACATCCCGCGGCTGCACGAGGATTCATCACGAAACTTTAGCTAGTGGTTTTCCCTTTTATTCCTTGGGCCGGGTGGTTTCCCTTAATTTTGTTCGTTGGGAGAGTAATAGCCATCTGTCGCTCTTCGACATTCACACACGAGGTAATATGGGTCGTTCGATGTTTGGGAATTAAAAGTGGCCCAAATAGTGTTTAATCCATGTACAACTGGTAGATTTTTTGTGTGAATCTGTTGACTGTTTTCAACAACAATGTTCGGTACGTTTTGTACAATAAAACTGGGAGCCAATGATGATATTTTTGGTAAAGCCGAATGTTTGGTATAGCTGCGTTTGGTAAAGCGGCGTTCCACTGTAGTTCACTAACAGTTTGCATACATGTAGATGTAAATATGTTTTTAAATCTCTTCAATTTTATGTACTGGTAGATGAAATTAAAAACATACAGTATGCACAATCAATCAAAGGACATCATGACAGCTAATGTTTCTTCTTCTTGGATACATGAGAGCAACTAATGCAGACTGTCATGGTGCTATTTATTGTACTCGCCTGTGTGGCTGCATTAAATGAAAAACCATATCTGCAAACATCAACAAACAAAACTACCAAATTACTTTGAAATACAAAAGTCTGAATATTATACAAATAATGAATGTTTGTGAGTGCAATGGTAAGAATAATTTCATCTATTGCACGAACGTGAATCGTTCATTATTTGTTTTAAATAACACCTGAATAAATCCTTGTCATCGGATTGGGTTGACTTCTAAAAGCCAATTTATTCAGGTTAAAAACTGTTTAAAAATTTGACAAGTTCATCATATTTATATTAATGCAAACTGTTCGACAGGTTAAGAACAATCGGATTCAATTTATCTCGATCTAAAACAGCGCCACCAGCAGCAGAAGTGACACCATGCAATGGAAGTTCTATTTACTGTGCAATAGAATTTCCATTCACAGTGTAATAGAACTTCCATTGCACTGTGCGCTGCGCGCCACGTACGCACTGTGCGCGCCGTGCGTTGGTACGAATAATTCAATGACATGTGATCAACGATCCACCAATCAGATGACTGGGATTTATTCAGATGTTGTATACTGTTTGCAATCAATCACACTGTTCACACATCTATGAACGGGTACAAGCCTTCTAGACTGATTCCCTGACCTTACAATGCCCCGAGGTCCATAAATTGCTCCATTTCAATGTAAGGGAACCAAACTACAAGGACTGTTTATGATGATTGTTTTTCTTGGTTTTTCTAGCGTCTACGAACCCAAAACATCAAACAAGTCAGTGTAACAACATTTGCTGTAAAATACTAACCCCCAAAATCCATCCATTTCTGATAATTACAGCAAAGGCAAATGTTGTATATTCCCTTTAACATTGTCCACCTACCTACAAGTTCAACAGGCCTGTTTATGGGTACAGTTTGAAGTCGTTTCCTGCATGCAGTCTGTCGGCAGTATCAGCCACACCCTACTATTACTACAACAGCACGATTGTATGTTGTGTACACGGATTGTCCAATAGTGAATAGTGCCTAATTGCTACCACAGTCAAGTGCACAGCAACGGCTGTCGTTATGACGCCACAACTGTTTCGTCATGAACACAATTTCTCATATGGGAAATTCCCGGGTTTTTATGAATAGCTTTTCATGAGACACCTTTGGCCTCAAGCATATTGTTGTTGGTTGTTGCTAGGTGTTCAGTACTTGTACATTGTACCCAGCTGCTCTTGTGCATGTAGATAAATCGATGTATAGAAAAAGTTTATGAGGATAACCTTTATGGGTTATTCCACCGGGTTGGGAAACAATGTGTGACATATATGACCAGATTATGAAAAGTATGAATGCCTTGCTTGCAGTTGCTAAAATCTCCATTCACTTCCGAAAATCGGTCATTCAGTTTCCTCTGAATTTGAATGCATGATCTTTAATCCCATTTGAACTCAACAAAAGTTCAGTCGTTTTCCTCCGTGCATTCCGTTTTGAGAAACAGACGACCAATTACGTTACCTTTGCATTCATTTACGCAAGCATACCTTTTCTGAATTGATTTCTGGTACAGCTAATTTGATTGACGGTAAATGAAAATAAAACCCCTAATTTTTTCTCAGTGGTGCCGAATGCATTAATCTTAAAGTGAAATAGAATGGTAAATGTTTGAAATCGCCCTCTAAAAGTGAAAAAGAAGTCTTGTAAACGAATCTGAATAGACATAAACAAAAGGTGCTGCTCAATTGATTGAACTGAAATGGAATTGAATGCTCTGGTAGCGAAAATGAAATGCGTGTTCAGAGCGATTCTCAAATTCAGACGAAAATAAATGACCGATTTTCAGAAGTGAATGAACCTTTTAGGAAATTGGCCGGGAAAACCTATATTTGTTGTTGGGTGTTTCACTACTGCAGAAAGTTTTAAATCATTTGAATGTATTTTGCCATATATGAGCAAAAATGTCATTCTGATGTAACATTGACACCGTGTCAATGTAAATTTCTGTAAAACAATTCCCTTTATGTACTTCTTACTATACATGCAACACTCTAAGAACAACTTTCATTACGGTATTTGGGTATCAAATGGAGCAGAATTTATAGCTTAGTTGTGGACGTCACATTGACACCGCGCCGTGTCAACCCTAAATGTCACACTTCCACTGAGTGATTTGGACACCGTTACGTCTATATGTCGTTTCTGCTATATTTGAACCCTGACTATACCAAAACAAAAGCTTTTCTTGGTGCATTAGGTGTCCAGTTATAAATATGCAATGTCAGTTTGGGTATTATTTTACATGTGTAAAAAAAAATGCCCCCCCCCCAAAAAAAAAGGATTTGGTTGTAACATTGACACTGTCACCGTTACATCCGAATAATTCATTTTTGCTCATATTTTTGTCAAAGTCCATTCAAATGATTTCAAACTTTCACAATTATTAAAATACCCTCAGACAAATATTATGTTAAGCAATTGTTTAGAATGCATTGATACTTTTAATAATATAACCAAATATTTGGATGTACGATGCACTGTTTCCCAACCCGGTGGAATGCCCCTTGTATCAGATGGTAATCAGTTGCACCTCATACGCATTAATGCTTCAAGAAATGTTAAAACATTCAAATGTAATGAATGTACAAATGCTATTCTACCAAAACATTTGCAGGTCATACTGATGTTCCGTGAAGTACCCAATGCAACCACTGCACTGCTGGACATGCTGCTGCATTGTTGCTACTGCAACGACACATTCACCTTGTCCGTCATGATGATGATCCACGTAAGTACAATTCCTTACAATTCAAGTTGATCCAACAAATGTTTAACTTGTACTGTATGTTTTTATTTTAATCCCCCAAAAGACCAACTTTTTTCGAGAGGGGGGGATAGAGGGCATCTGCAACCTTCGAGATTGTCGTTCAGCAAGTAATTCAAAATTTGTTAGGATGGGCAGATTTTTCATTCTATGTCTCATTCATATTTATGAACATTGTTTTAAAGGTAGAGTAGATCATTTGCAGCTTTACAAAAAGTAACTGACAAAGTTATTGTTGAAAAGCTTGCTATGAGTTGAATCTGTGAATGGGTGCCATTTGTGTTTAATTTGTGTCAAGGAAATGCTTTGTGCAGATGGTTTGTGCAGACGGTTCGTTAAAAATTTCTTTTTTAATTTTACTGTGCCAAGCGATAATTTCTTACTATCTGCAGTATTTGAATGTTATTAAAGGCACGTTGATGTAGGAATGTTGGCAATGACCCAGAAACGTATTTAACGACAAAAAGTAAAAAATGATCCTATGGACCTTTTAAATATAACAAGGGAGATTGAAATTTGAAACGCTACAATATTTGCCAGGATTGTTTCTCTTTGTTGTATTGATTTTTTTTATTTATTGTCTCTCCACCCTGATTGGTCAATACAGGGTCAGGTGTCCTCGGCGCCCACCAATGAGCTGAAGCACATCTTGATTCTCCTCCTGGAGCTGTTGATGATGGAGGACCCCCTGCAGGGCAAGCGCCTCAAGCTAGCCGTGGAAGGCAACAACAACAATGGCCTCTTGGGTAAGGAGCACTCATCTCTGTATATACTGACTGAGTAGGGTGAAGCCACTCGGACGCCATCTTGGGAGGCCAAGACATATGGATTATTGTATCAATGTGGGGCCACTTTTTTCATGTGCCTGTTACATCTGATATCTGTGATTATATAATTCTCATGCACTCCTTGATGCAGTCATCCTCCAAGAGTGATTGTGAATAGCAAACTACCTACCCAACAAATAAAATGTTTAAAGTCATTCTTAATGCTACTTGAATAAGGTAATAAATGTGTAATTGACTGGTTTTAAACGAGTCCGTTTAAGACTGGCTGGGGGAATGGACGCTGATAATAGCCCGAGCTGAAGGGAGGGATCTTAGTAGCGACAAGGCCCCTAGCCAGTCATAAACAGGCTTGTTTAATACCAGCCAAGCACATATTTATTCCCATTCACAAATATCTTTTCGGTCAAAGAGTCAAAACAAGTTAAAAAAAAATATATATTTCCATTGATTTTTTTCAACAATTTTAATTCATGTTTTTTTTAAACACCCAAGGTAACAGGGACAAGAATTGTCACACTTTAGACCAAAAATGTATTGTAACGTACAAGCTGAAAAACTTTTGTGAACTAACTTCCTTGCAAACTGACTTTTTCATCGTTAAAATTAATCTCACTATTTCTGTGCTATTGTCTCACAGAGATCATCCGTAAATGTACGTCCACGGACAGCCGTCGGTCCTACCAGTGCATCAAATTCCTGGTCCATCTGTCCAACAAATGCTCCATGGCCAAAGAGTATCTGATGACCATCTCGGTCCGGTGGCAGTGGGCGGTCAACTGGCTCAAGAAAAAGGTAAGAACTTCTCCTCAATATGTAGTTTTTTTAAGGTTCAGTTAACTGGGTATATCTCTGAGTCAAAAGGTTTAATTTTCCAAGTTAACCAAGTCAATAGGTGTTACTTTTCTCGTTAACCAAGTCAAAAGGTATAACTATCCAAGTTAACCAAGTGAAAAGACTAGCTTATTATATAAACAGTATTTCAACCTCGGTTACTTGTAAGCAAGCTGACTCAAAGGCACATAGTATTATTTGCATTTTTCCCAGAAGTAACCTAGCAAATTATTATCGAAAAACTTACTTGGATTAAAGATCGTACTGGTACTTAACACCTCGTGAAATGTTTCCGTCTGGCTTGCTGTCATTTAGAAGCAATTAAGAAATGTAGGTGATTTCCTACGATCTGTCAATTGGCTGATCTTTTATTTTTATCCCAGAAATTAATACAAGAATCTATAGCAACTTTCTATCAAGACTAGACAATTAATGTGCTTATTTTGTTATGTTGCTGTTTTGCATAGATGAGCGAGCACTACTGGACGCCGCAGAACGTCTCCAACGAATCCAGCACGGGACGGTCCTTCCAACGCACCATGAGCGCTCAGGACACGCTGGCCGAAGCCACCGCTCTGTTGGATGAGCTCAACACCCGTGACGACGACGGTGAACACATCGAAAACGACGAAGAGGAGGAGGAGTACGTCGAGGGGGACTCCAACACCAAGATGGAGGTCAACGGGTCGTCAGAGGGGTCAGAGGTCAACGGGAATGAAGACAGCTCCGAGTCTTCCAAGACGCTGGTTCAGGACGACGTGGGCGACTTGGACGACATTGATACATAACGTTTTTTTTTTCTGTTTCAGAATTTGTAGCCAATAGAAGATGGTCCCTTACTCCCGAGGTCATAAGTTAGAGGTTATTACAGGTCAGGTCATAGGAAACCAAGGGCCAGTTGCGTATTTGTTTTTGCTGAAACATCGTTTTTTAACCAATCACATCACGCACCCTAACATGAATATTTATCACGCTGTGTGGATGGAAGACACTTAAGTTCTCGTAGTGTTTTCCCTGTAATTAACTTATGCCAACCAACAAAAATATGTCATTAAATTGGACAAGGGTTCAAACCACAGACTTTGCGTTCCATTGTTCACTTCATTATCTCCTAGATAGGTCAATCCTGCTTTAGCTAGGCTGGGAGCTCTCAATTGTTGAAAACAGCCACTTGACTGAAAGGACAACTTGGCACAGAAAGTCTGTTTGCATAGGGTGTTAAGCAGACAATGAATGCTTAATAACAATATTTTTTGCCCACAAGTCAGAAGTTATAATAACTTGCATGCTTTGTACCTTGAGAAACCTGTATTTGCTGAGCAGATATTTTCCATGCTTACCAGATTTCTGTTGGCCGCTGTTCCCGTTCAGTCATTCACTCTAGTCACTGTAAGCCATAATTTTGTGTGTCACACAAATTCTTCTATTTTAAGCCAATATAGGACAAAGTTTGTTTGTTATTTTTTTATTTTGACTCGAGTGTAGTTTGTAGAAGCAATAATTTTATAAGGACACAATTTATAGCATGGTATGTGTGTCGTTTTGCCGTAAAGTCGCACAGCAAGGGATGCAAAAGTGACAAAAATTTATTTAAACCTGAATTTAAACCTTTTGTCACACTGATTCTTTTTACTAGATGTTTTGCATAGTAACTTGGTCCATTTCTAAACGTTACCACTCCCTGGTCCTACAAATTCCATCAGAATTTTTTTGAAGGATTTTATAGGATTGAGGAAAGTTGGGCCTAGCTAATTGGGGTTTTTTTTGGCACAGGGGTTGATGCACCTATGAAGTTTCAAGTATGACTATTTGTTTTGTGCACTGTGTTTTATTTTGTAGGATTCAGGAATTTTCTATCAAAAGTGCTGCGGGATTTACGGTGAATTTCTTTTTTGTTTCTGTTTATTGATTACCCCACTTGATTAAATCGAGTTGCCAAATAGTTTATGCATTGAAATAACTTTAGATCAAATAACTCTACAAAGATTTTTGAATCTGAAATCTATGCATAGAGTAAATTCTTCGCTGTAAAAATACTGAATTCTGGCATCTTCAAGCAAACTTGAATCCTCGATCCTGATTGGTTGATTCATGACAACAACATTATCCATTTCGCAGTCTGGGTATCGCGCTATTCTTAGATGCGCACTACTGCCTACTGCATGCACGTGTTTAAGGATAACCGCTGGAAAGTTCGTGTACAGGGTGCGCGCGTTCGATCCAGCTTTACTGTGCGTCAAGTTGGCTTGAAGATAAATCCGTTTTCCACTCGCGCTCATGGAAAATGAAAAATTTGGTGCGTCTGTGTCCCACATACCACTTGGTCTTCAGCCTCGTGGCATTTGGTACTCAGACGCACTACTTTGTTCCGTGTTCAACTCAAGCTTGTGGGATAAATGACTATGACATACATGTTTCATCATTATCTGCTGTAAATAGTTTTAAAAACAACAACAACAAAACGGGTTGTTTTTTTCAAATGTTCACACAGCATGAGTACTCTAGCAACTTTTCAAAACTGCCTCAGCTAAAAGAGAATTTGATAGTATTTTTGGATCTAGATTTGAAACTAGCTGCGACTGGTTTCAACCAGATAGATTACATGTATATCATTAACCTTTGGCCCTGATGTGTTTCATGAGAACCAATCAGATTGTACCAGGAATTGCATCATGAATATTTGTAAAAAGGAAAGCATCCAATACCAGGGGACTACCTTCACTCTTTCATCCAATCGCAACTGCATGTGGTATCGCTATGGCAATACCTAATTAATATGCATTTTCGGTATCTTCCATGTAGATAGTTTGGTAGCGGTGTGTTTTAAGTAAAAATGAATAACTTATAGTTACACACACCAATGCAAGTTATTTTTCAAGTAGCATTAAATGAAATTAGAATTTTCATTTTTTTGGGGGGGGGGGGTGATGATTTGCTGGATATGTTAACTATTGAAGATTCCTTTCTGTGCAAATTTAATAACTTCTTCACCATTGTAAATATCACGCCTCACTATTTCATATGTAAATACTTTGTACATAAGAAAAAAAACGTAGGTTTTTGTTAAAAATTCAAAATGTCAATTTTTCATTTTAAAAAGAGATAAAGAGACCAATGAGATAAGTTGGGAAAAACAATTCTTGTTGTTCAGTTGTATGTGGGATTTTTTCAAATGAGAAGATGAAAACACCTGACCTGGCCAATGTTAAGGTCATATGGAAATTTATGTACTGGGCTGAGTTCTTGCACACTTTAACATAATTAACATCTGCACAATTTTTCTGTTGCTTTCCAATTTTGTTTCAAGAGTTATGAGGTTTACTTTTTCAATTGGTTCAGTAATTCCATTTTTATTAACCCGTTGTCAAATTCCATAAGAAAAATTCTGAAATTATATTTAATTTGGAGTTCATAGGATGTGGTGCTTTAGTGCTTGTAAGCATAAGTAAAAAAGTTGCATTTTTGTTCGTCTGTTAATTGTTTGTAATGTTAACTGTGCTTTACATACTGACATGACATTACAAACTACGCTTTTTATGCTACAGAAAAGTAGACCTTGCAGCAAAGGTTTCCACCTGAATTATTTTCATTTTCTGCAGTCAGTGAAGCAACCTTGATAAGCAGAAAAACTTTAGCCTTTTTTAGTTTTAATTTTGTTTTGTTATGTGTGCAATGAGCAGATTATTCCAAAATTGCACCCGCCAGATACGAACACTTGATATATCTGTTCAAAGATCATATAGTACACATTGTTTTATTTCCGTTAATATTGAGGCAATTTAGATTGTATCCAAAGAGTTAAACTATATTATTATTTATATCAGGCTTCCAGTGATAAAAATAATTGAGCGTATTGTATGTTTTCGTAAAAAGTGCCCGGATGAATGAAATATTATGTTTGTAAAAGTACCCAGAGGTGGACAATATTATTTTTGATATCTCCTAATCCGGGCATTTTAACAATTCGCTGGTTCCCACACAATCAAGAGCGTAGAACCTCACAGTTGTCAACCGGTCAACACAGCGTAGCGCGGTACCATCGAACGCGGGCACGGACGCAGCGCGCAGCATGACATACGTGCACTGTTGTCAACAGCAACAATGGTAGCTATGAGCAGCGCAAAATTTGCTTTGGTAAGCAAAGAATATTCAGTGAAGTTTCAGAAATAAAGAGAGTGTCCATTTTTTGCTGATCAAGTCTGCCTGATATAAATAATAATGATAGTATTGGATGGCTTTTTTCCCCGGGGATACAAGAACATATTGCACTAGGTATAACAATAGTGCCCTCGTCATAGCTCATGCAATATGTTCTTATATCCCACTCAAAGCCATCTAATATTATATATCTATCTTTAGGGGGGATTGATATGTAAAGATCCGTCATGAAATTACACACATGCACACAAACAAAAAATGAATCTCAGTCAAAGGATTTTTTTGATAACCAGAAAAGAAAAAAAAATTAACATAAAAATGCACAAGAAAAAAATGGCTGCCTTAATGTAAAATACTGTACATATTTAGAGACCTGAAAAAGTTTAAAACCATCGGGTGAAAATCTACTTTGATTCTCTAAAATAGTAGGAATAATAAAAGTTGCATTTTAAAGTAATGTAGTACTGTTTGATACAATGCAAGACATGGTTAGTAGATCAGACAGTAAACTTAGTGTATTGTACAGGTATATGAAATACTGGTTCAAATCTGGTTTGAACCAGTTCAAACCAGTCTCTACTGGTTTAAACTGGCCCTAATTAAAGAGGCATATATATGCATACACACATTTGAGCGTACGGTTTCTGCAGAGTTTACACTGAAGGGCTGGTCAGTGACATTAATGTACATGTGTGTACATATATGTAAATATATTTTAAATATTGATTACAAATTCCTGGTATTTTAAATAACAATTTTGTTTCATGATCAACTTCGTGAGACAGAGAAGTGCAAGATTTGAATAAAAAATTTTCAATTTTACCCAGTTGTATATTTTCTGTATTTTGTCAGATTGTTTTTGCTAGTGTTGTGGTGACGTCTTGTTAAACTTAATTTTATACATGTATATGTTTTTCTTATAGAGTAAGGAATGGATTGTATCATTCAAATTCCATGAAAAGATACTTTAATAACGTTGTTTGCATGAGGCGATTTTGCCTTTTAAGAACCAGGGCTTTCTCCATACAAGGATTTCGTTGTTTTTCTTTACCCAACATTATCACACTTCTCAAGCAAGACAGCGAAGGCGAGATTCACGTGTAAGTTGTCGTAAACAGTACTCTTTTCCACAGCTTTTAACACGTTTTCTCCAAATGTTGGGTTGAAAAATCTAAGAGATTTCAGCTTATTGGTATCTATATGCTTTTTCTGTAATTTGCAGAAATGGATGGATTTGGGAAGTTAGTATATTATAGCAAATATTGTTACACCGACTTGTTTGAAGTTTTATGTTTGTAGATGCTGGAAAAGAAAAACAAGAAAAACAATGATGTTCCTGTAGTCTTCAAATTTGGTTTGTGGGTTGCTCTTGGTAGCCTTATCAAGCCTGTTGCTTTTGGGGCCGACAGGTCAAAGGTCAAGGCCACTTTTGCTAAAACAATAGAAATCTTCCATTTTGGTTAGGGACACTGACAGTGACAAGTAAGTATCTGTAAAAACTGCCAGCATGCCAGGGGGATCGCGCAAGTTTCACTTGCAGTATTTTTCACTCACGGAGTCCTTTAGCCCCTGTTGTCAAGTGAAGTTCTTTCTTGTGTTTTCCCGCCAGTTTGGAACCAGTCAGTTCCCCCGAGCTCTCCTCGAAAGCTCGGGGGAACTGACTCGGGGGATCGGCGATCGTCTCGGCGAGCTGACGGCACTGTGGTGCACAAGGGGGAACACCGGGGGATGTTCATGGACCGCATGCCACCGGGGATCCAGCGCGTCATACGCGACAACAACCTGCAGTTCCTGCGGAACCGCGCCATCTATGACACCGATTACTTCACCTTTGTCCGGAGCCTTGCGTCCTGCAATGTGGTGAGTCCAAAAACATCTTCAGGGAATTTTTGTTGTTTACAAAAAAAGTGCCCATTCTGGCGCAAAAACTTGTTTACCGCACAATGATAATAGTTGGGCCGATCATTAAAATGTAAGTTAAGATACAAATGCTCAACACAACTATACCTTTCAAATTTGCTGACATTACTGCACGAAGGAATTTCAGGGTACAAAACTTTGCTCCTCAAAAATCGAGCCGTTGGAGTACACTTCATCATACACACAAGCCCAACTTCTTTGGTTTCATGTGAAATATGCCCACCGTCAGCATGGGATTTTCTGCTATTACTAGATTTTCAAATAAACACTGCGAAAAAAGTAAAAAGTCCACACTCATTTTAGGGTCATAATTTTGAATCTGATCGTCTTATGATAACGTCATTGATATAGACCTGAGGGGAATTTTTTTAGCTACATTTTGATACCCAGTTTGCTACCAAAGACTGTAAATTGTCCAACATTAACAATGGTTCATGAAAAATGATGCAGCTGGAAAAGTCGCAAATTTAAAGAGTAGGCGAGTGGCAATTGCTGCGTGACAATGTTACAATGCCCAAAACGAACGGCAGGGAATATTGATTGCGCAGTGCTTGTATATGCATGGGAGCACGAGGAATTGAATTACCCGCGCTTTGTTCGGGCACTGTGCAGTTGATAGGCGCCAATTACGGGCGTGTGGTTTGCGTTGAGCAATTTCTCCTCGCGTAATCTTTAAATTTGCAACTTTTGGTATTTGCTTATAAAGTGTACCCTAAATCATTTCCCTGATCGAGAATACTTTAAATAACTCCTCTTCAAAAATATTGCTCTTCTTGTCAATCTGCAGTCCTTCACACTGAGCAGTTACTACGATTCCTGTGCTGGCCGTCACCAGCCAGCAACTAGCCTTCCAGTTTCTATTCAACAATTACTTCCGAACCAAAAAGAAACTCAGGTGAGTTCTGAGGGCAGCATTCCATTTGACTCTTAAAGGGCCCATGCATTGTAGATAGCATTTATTTAATGCTATCCTTAAAAATGCATCTTTGTGTTCCATTTAACCTTATTTTAAATTTCATATTGCCATATCCAAGGGTATTTTGATGTCGTTTTGGTTTTTATGCTAATTCAAATTACCGTATTCATGTGCAAACCTGTGATGTCATTCCGGGCAGAAACCTCAATGTTACAGCTATTTCAGCACAAAAACTTCCTATAATTTTGGATATTTTGTTGTCATAAATTTTCTTTTCTTTGGTGATTTGTTGTTGTGCAAGTACATGGCAGTAAACCAATGAGCATTCAAAAAAATTGAAAGTGAGGCCATGTCCGAAATGGGCTTCCAGAGCTACGGCTACGTCTATTGTCAGTGCGTCCCCGCGTATTTTCAATGGGCGCGTACCTAGACCTAGCTCTAGACAGTTGATTCGGATGCAGCCCGAGGCTTGGAAGGCATAATAGTCTGGCACCATCCCATTCAACAGTTGACAATTTATAAAATACATTCAGGGAACACAATCAAAAATGGCTTCCTCGTGAAAAAGATGTATAGCCTGAGCTGAACATTATTATCGGCCAGGCCCCTAACCAGCTTGAAACCATGCATTTATAACTGCACCATCATACTTTGATCCCATTTATTATGACGTCTCCTCATGAGAAAGTAAATAACTTTATATGTACCACATGGCTGCGAAAATTGATTATTGGTTTCAATGGCAGTAGGCCAATTTTTGATAGACCTGTTGCTAGCTACTCAAATTGGAGAGCAAATATATGGGAGTCCAGAGAGGCCTCATAAAGCTTATTCTCGACCATAACCCAATCTAAAAACACATTAAAATTGTGCAGCAGCAGGATTCCAGTCAAACCAGTGAGTTTGGCGGTTTTGAGACATCATCTTTCATTGAAAAAAAAACTTCTTCATTTTGCCGACGTGCATGGCTACGCCGCGGTGACGCGCGCACATACCAGAAACCGGTGACTTTTTTATGTTGGCCTTAATGAATTTGTTGTCTTTTCCACTCATAGGATATTGTATGCTGCAAACATCTGTTCACTTAGTCTGCCGTACGTCGATCGTAACGTTCCTCTTGGGCCCACACACTGCACAGAACGAGGAGGTATGTGAGATAGTTTCTCGTGTAAAAAACTGTGCATTAAATGAAATGGGGTGACGGTTACCCAATAATGGCTGGTTCTTCATTACTCACTTCGAGCACAGATAGATTTTAGTTGTGATATCAAACGTTAATCATGCTTCAAATACAGTCACACAAAATGATCACCTAATTGATGCCATAATTCACATGCCTTTTAACCTGTGTCCAATAGCAGACATTTCTGTTACAGAGAATATAGGAGAAAGTGTGGATTCGTAATTTAAGAATTCACAAGGCGCAAAGCGCCGAGTGAATTTGTAAATTAAGAATCCACACTTGCGAGTGTATTCTGTGACTAAAACCATTGCGTCAAAAGAAGTATTGTCATTTACAGTCCAGTGAGTGGAGATGAAAAGACTTGCATATCTTGTATATTGGCCATTTAATTCGGCGGAACTTACATTCAAGGGAGTTATCCGAGGCGCTTATGTTATCAAAATTTTATGTAAAGGAAATTAACATTGTGGCGTGTTTCTGTTAATAATGTGAATCCTAGTCGCCACACCCGTGCAACCACGTTATTTTGGGTGTAGACTCTTTCACGTCAACATGGATTTGAATCAAGTGAAAACAAATTGAAAATATTCAAAATGGATTAAGAATGCGTAAAAAAAAGAGAATAATATTAACGTGAGAAAGAACGTTGTATCCAGACGCCACGAACTGGTTGTGTACAGAGTCTATGGAGAGTCTATGAAGTGTTTCCGAACAAAAATGGAAATGTTTCTCAGTCCCAGATTCATGTCTTTTCAACATTTTTGAGATGACTAACCTTTATTGAGATGATATATGAGGAAAAGAGTGGCGTCAGGATGCAACAGTCTTTCCTTAACGAGTCATAAGTTTCATGATGTCTATTCAGCTATATATGTTTTAAGGTACATTGTCCAAAATGCGGATTCGTAATTCCGAATCCACACTTTACTGAAGATTCGTCGTTCCGAATCCACACTTTGTGACCAGTGTAAGAGATTCATAGTTCTGAATCTACACTTTTAACAATAGTGTGACGTCATGGCAATGGTTTTATTTCTTGAGACTACTTATTGATTTTTGGCCTGCGTAGGATGTTCAGACGAGGCGATGGACGTCGCTGCAAACCAAAGAGTTCACTTATCTCCACACGATGCTGGCTGTCATGATCCTGTACTGTGACGTCTCCAAGTTCAGAACAATCGGTAAGTCTGGCTGTCTGTTGTATGGACTTTGTGCATAAGTACTGTGCTACTCTACTGCCAGGAGCATGGTGTTTGTGCCCTTGGGCAAGACACTTAACTACAATTGCCTCTCCTCCCTGCCAGGAGCATGGTGTTTGTGCCCTTGGGCAAGACACTTAACTACAATTGCCTCTCCTCCCAGGAGTATGAACGGGTAGCTGTGAGGGTAGAGGACAGAATGTACGCTGATATCGGCTGCTATGTGGTCTCGTGGCCTGATGAACGGAGAATATTTGTAAAGCATTTTGAGATCGTTGTTATAATGGAAAGCGTTTTATAAGCATTACAATTTTGGCTTGGAGCCATCCTCAATCCTCCAAAATCAATGGAGGAGTGACCATTGACTCAATCCTTTAAAATTCACTGTTAATGGGTTGAGGCAGTGCTGATGACATTCAGAAGCAGTGCGGATGATATCGAGCACAATGCAGGGCTCAGTAATGCATGGCTGCAAAATAAACAATGCAGGGTCCAAAATGAACGGACACTTTTTGCCCTTCAGCCTCAATCTTCGAAAATCCTCCTAAACTGCCATGAGGATTTTGGAGGTTTGAGGATTGTTAGAGTTAATTTTCATTATTAGAATAGCAATGATTGAATTGGACTTATTGTGGATTACTGTTAATCCCCAGATCAAGCGGATTATCCACCGAGGCAGCGGACATTGATCATCCCCACCAGTAAGCCGCTAGCCATGCCCAGCGACATGCAGCAGATCCTCTTCGCCACGGAAGGCATCAAGTACATCCGGGAGGTGAGTTCATAGGTCGCCGTGGTGACCATTCATCTTACAAAAACCTTCCAAAAGTTTTAATCGAGAACCGTTGATATACTATTGGATGATTTCCAAAGTATGTCACGTTATCGTTGACCACATTGTGGGGAAGTTTTTTTGGGGGGAGGGGGACTTACGATCAAGTCGTTGGAAAAACCTGACTTTTCTGAAAGACATTTTGTTTGCAATCACTTGCACATCCAAGAACGGGTGTAAGCCAGCTAGTCTGGTTCCCTGACCTGACAATGCCCCGACGTCTATAATTTGCTTTGTTTCATCTGAAGTAGGGTCAGGGAACCAGGCTACAAGAGCAGCATATTTTTTCTTGGTTTTTCCAGCATCTATGAACATTAACTTTAAACAGGTTAGTGTGACAATATTTGCTATGAAATACTAACCCCCAAATCTATTGATTTCTGAAAATTGCAGAAAAAGCAAATGTTTTATATTACCTTAACTTCCTATTGTGAGGAAGGAATGCTCCAAGTTTGTTATCATTTTAAAGGTCATGATGTGACGTACTGGGAACATTGGTAAATACCCGGAAACAGACCAAATGATTAAATGAGCAAATCCTTCTTCAAAGGTACCTAATACCCTGTGAAATTATTCCACTTGAAATGGGATCATTTGGAAGAAAACAATAATTGAAGGCGGTTTTATGCCCCGCCAGTGAAGCCGAAGGGGCATACTGTTTCTGCCTTGTCCATCCGTGTGCCAGCGTTATGGGGAAGGTTTTTATTGTTCAGGAAATAAAAACCAAGTTATGGGGATTTTCTGCTGACCCCATAGCGTCTTCGGTCTCCATAATATTGTGGCAGGGATCTCCCTGGGCCATCCCAAGTTCATAGGGACCAAGTCTGACACCTAGTGTGTAGCGGATCTCTCCGAACCCAAGCTTTCCCAAGACAAGAGACCACTCAGAGCGACCTCAAGGCTTAGGGAGCAGGTCCGTTTTGGAGGAAATATACCGCCGATTATGATGATTGTGATTACTCTCTGTTAATTGCACAATAAACCTGCAAGAAATACACCTTGACAACAGGATTGTCGGCACAACATGTATGGTCGTAATTTATTATACAATAATCAAGAAATATACAGGAGTAGTTGGGATCTAATTGGGCTGTTTTATTACCAGGGTCAGTTAATTATACATGCAGTTGGGAGACATTAACCCACTACTCATATAAGCAGCAACATGCACAACATCAACAATGTACAATAATGTAAGCAATACACACTAATGTAAGTAGTACACTCCAATGTAAACAACGCACGCCAATGTAGACAATGCAAGTAATGTACAGCAATGTAAACAATGCATGTACGCCAATGTAGACAATGCGTGCCAATGTAAGTAATGTACAGCAATGTAAACACTGCATCTACGCCAATGTAGACAATGCGTGCCAATGTAAGTAATGTACAGCAATGTAAACACTGCATCTACGCCAATGTAGACAATGCGCGCCAATGTAAGTAATGTACAGCAATGTAAACAATACATGTACGCCAATGTAAACAATGCGCGCCAATGTAAGTAATGTACAGCAATAAACAATACATATACGCCAATGTAGATAATGCGCGCCAATGTAAGTAATGTTAAGCAATGTAAACAATACATGTACGCCAATGTAGACAATGCGCACCAATGTAAGTAATGTACAGCAATGTAAACAATACATGTACGCCAATGTAGACAATGCGCGCCAATGTAAGTAATGTACAGCAATAAACAATACATCTACGCCAATGTAGACAATGCGCACCAATGTAAGTAATGTACAGCAATATAAACAATACATCTACGCCAATGTAGACAATGCGCGCCAATGTAAGTAATGTACAGCAATGTAAACAATACATGTACGCCAAAATAAACAATACAATATGCCAATGTAAATAATACACGCCAATGTAAGTAATGTATGTAAATGTAAACAATACATGCCAATGTAAGTAATACACGCCAATGTAAGTAATGTATGTAAATGTAAACAATACACGCCAATGTAAGTAATGTACGTAAATGTAAACAATACACGCCAATGTAAGAATGTACACCACGCCAGCATATAACCTGTTCAGCCTTGTACCTGATAACGCTTTCCCATGCAAGCGAGTGTCAGCATCGCACAGTACGTGTACACTCACTTGTATGGCTGCGCGCATCAGCATTACACAGCGTAACTTAAGCAAAGTCATGGCCTGAACACAGCTTAATGAAGCTTAACGAGTTTAGACCCCATAAATCAAAGGCAAAGGTCATTATGGTTAAAACAATAGCAATAGTTTTCCCACCATAGCACAAACAAGACTTGTCATATCAACTTAAAACTTGGTATTTTATTTAAGCTGGCGATCTTCTCAGAAACCTGTCACTTTTTTGGACCCCTTAGGCCAAAGATTAGGATTGTTATGATTATTAAAGACAGGAATATTTTTTTCAACATACACATGTAACTCAGTCAAACTGTTGAGATAAATAAGGAGAACCATCATTTATTCTGAGGCTACAAAATACCAAATTGAATGCTTGATCAAATACCCAAGACCAAGCTACTAAAACCAAAGGCTCCAATGCATACATGTGCTCATAATACAAAGCAGTATAAGATAAAAGGGGCATTTAATTTAAAATGTTTGGCAAAACCAAGATACAGAGAAGGGCTTGGTTGGGAAGTTAAAGTTAGTGTTTCCGAATAGTGTTTCTGAATCCAATAAGAATGAAGCTGATCTACATTGTAGTCTGAAGAAATTTAACCATTTGTATAGGACATTCCAAGGTATAATGGTACATTCTAATGGAGCTGGAGCTGGCCCTCGATGATTTGCATTTATTTTGGAAACGTTTAGCAAATCTATTTCAGCCTAATTTAAACGTTTAAACCTTTAGCCACGACACACAGGCTGCATGCCACCTGCACCAGTGTTTGCACTCAAGCATGTTAGTTACAAGAATATACATGAAATAATTATGGTGCACAGCAAACGAAGGGCAGCATCGACACTGATCTACAAAGAAGATCATTCATAATGGACTGTCTTTTGCTTTGTAAATAAAATGGTTTAAAGGTGTCCTTTAGTATTATTAATTGTGTGTGAAATGCATACCAGGGCAGATACAGCAAACATATTCAGTGCGGGTGTGGTTTAAACATTTTGGAAAATTAATTGTAAATGGATTCAGAATGTGTATCATTTCAATGTTTAAATGGCACCCTTTACCACCAACCACGCACAAGGGCAACAGCATGTGTGCCTCTCATGTCCTAGCTGCTCTACTCATATTCATAATACAAAACAGTCTCAATATTTGAGAAAAGTGCATAGAAACTACAGTGAACCAATTAAGTTACAAAGAAGGCTTGGTTGGGAAGTTTATCTTGCTGAAGATTGTGTTTCTGAAAGTCCAATAAGAATAAAGCTGGTCTCATTTGTTTAAACAAAAAAGGGATCTATTGTAAAGAACATGGAGTACATACTTCGTCTCATGGAGATAGCCCTCGATGAACAGACCATTCTATTTGGCAGCGCCCACCATGTATGTGGGCAACAAATCGTTCACCTCTCCTATGTTCAATACCGGTATTACATGTGCCAGACGTACACATGTCATACATGCCAATGCATGCACATGACAAATTTGTACACACCTATGTCGGGCATAAATCATGGCTGTGACTGGTCAAAACTTCCTGGAGGGGGGCGTGTGGATTTGTCTATAATTTCCCATCTGTTTTCATGACAAATGGTGGAGTATGGTACACGTACTGTTAGCTGGAAATATAAATGAATGTTGCACGATCAGTATTTACACTTGTACCATATCTTTAAGCAATACATGTAGCTCAGTAGAGAAGAACTTGCGACACATGCGGGTTTTTTTCTAGACTAATTGGAAATATTTAAAAAAAATTCAACCTACAATGTACATAGAACACCTCATGTAAAACATTTATAGTTGTATTTCTGAGGCGATGTTATCAGTTTGGGACAAATTTTGTCATTTTGGGAAATGGGAAGTTTTAGAAAAAAAATCAAACTAGCGCTTCCATTTTAAAAAAACATGGATGTATGTACAACTGTACAAGCTCCAAATAAGTTTGCACATATGACTACGGTTGATGTACATGTGTAAGATACTGAATGTGATATAACACATGTAATCTTTCTATGTACATGTATACAATCCCATATCTGCTCAAAGTGTTCAAGTCTGTCCTGTTTGTGAAGTTGCAATCAGAAAGCTTCTGTACATTGCACACGTCCATGGATGCATGGAGCATCAATAATTTTCATGGGTGTTTTGTAGATAAAATGTCTTGATACCATTTTTGTATATTTTTTCTTTTTTTATTCCCTGCCTTTTGTTTTGATCGTTTGAACAATTACATGTTGGTTGATATCTCTAAACCAAGTGATACATGCACATGTACACAGCAACCCCACTGTACCAGTTCCTCCGTAATGTACATTTAACTGCTAATTTATGTGCAGGTGTGTATGTGATATCAGAACCACCCCGACAGTCCCATGAAGCAATGCACTTGCCATCTGCACTAAAATGGCAGATTTTATCTGAGGCCGAAAGGTAAATATCACCTGCATCATCACAACACAGCCCACGAGGATCACTACAACTTTGAGTAAACAGTTTGTTCCCATGTAAGTCAACAGCCATCAGCAAACCCTCCTTGCTGCTGTTGGTGTAAATAAGTCGCTTGTTGCTGAAGATCAAATGTGTATCAATCTTTGGAGCAGGCAGTGTTCTGACGAGGGAACCATCTGGGTTGTGTAGAGATATCTGTTCCTTGTCCTTGTAACCCACTGCTATCAGATTGCTGCTGTCCACTGCCAGGCACGTCGGCATTCCATCCACGCCGGCCTCTTTACCCGGTAGGAACTGATGAAGGAGCTGGTATTCCTTGTTGAAGATCTTGACTGCAGGATTGTCTAGGATCAGAAGTTGA